AAAGAATTTTGTACAATTTCGATATATTTAATATATTTGTTGATGTAGAAAGCTTATTTGATCCCCTTTTTTTTTTGGTAATTTGGATAAAAAAAGGTTGGTATGTTTTTTGGGTTTACTTTTTTTGACCACTACGCCAATGTTTACTTTTTTTTAAAATTATATAAAAAAAATATTTACTTTTTAAATCTATCTTGACTATACAATTTTAAAAAAAAAAATACTAAAAGCAAAAATAAGTCCATTTTTTAAACTCTCTTTTGACAACAATTGACTTGTGAATCTTTTAAAAATGTTAAATAACTAAAGATAAGGATAAGTCTAACTGAAAAAGCAACTACTATTTTTTAATCTCAACCAACATGATCCTACAAAAAAATCTATTAAAAATGAAATGAAAAAGAAAGCAAGAGGTAAAACCAACTTTTTAACCAACGATGTTCCAAAAGGTGAAACTCAATAGAGAGAATAAAGCAATTATTTTCCAATTTCACACAACGAAACAACATTTAGCTATGGAATCTCATCACACAACAACTATTCACCAACAAAAAATGGTTGCTTTGCACCAAGGTAGAACACAGACATCAATCAATCAATTCTCGACAATTTTATGGAATGTTAACATATTACAATGGAATCTTAATTTCTTAAATCGTTTTCTTCACCTAATTCATACTTGCACAATCAAACTCTTTCTTAATAGTGAGCGCTACTAGATCTGATTCAATTCAACTGAACATGAAACTTAAAAGATGGCAAGTTCCTTCTTTATCTGTTCAAGTTCAAGCAAAAGAGCTTCTGTGTCATCCTCACCATCTTCATCATCGTCATTGTCACTAAACACAAAATAATGACACTTTCGTAATAACAAAATTCAAATAGTACATTTACACGTCAGTAATAACAAAATCAAGTGTTAGAAAAAACATTCAACTATATTCACATGCACATTTGCATACTTTAAAAACATTTCATCCTTTATAGTAACTGATTTGAAAAAAATGGAGCAGGTCTATCAAGTATAAATCGACAATCACACCACAAGTTGACAAATCAGGCCATTGGTATAAGCTTTTTGTTAACATATGAATTAATTCAGGTAAGTTTGCAATGAGTGACAACCTTCCATCACTGCTCTTAAGTTCCACATCAGCATCATCAGCATCATCAGCATCTACACTGCGTGGAATGAGGCGATCTTCAGCATCTCTCCTTGCCCCTGTAAAATAAGTAGGAAATCAGTTGAATAATTACGTATGCATAGCTAGTGTTTTTGGTACACAAAGCATGGAAGGCAGTACTCACCTTCCAATAGAAGGTGGCCTCCTTTTCTACGATCTCTATCGTCTGCACCCATAAATAATTTGATACAAAACAATTAGAAAATACTGTCCAACAACAAAACAACAACAATAGTAAAGGAAGAAACATATAGCAAAAAAGGTTGTCAAAAGCTTCTCTACCACTATAGGACTTATCCTTCAACAAGAAATGCCACCGTTCCCGCTCCTCCAACTCATCACGGAGATTCCTCTTCTGCAATTCCTCTTTAGTGTCTTGCCCATCCTTTCTGCAACAAATATTCCAACCAGTGAACAGTTTCTGTAGATAGGCGTTAGAAAGAAAAATAGTTGCATGCATATGCAGATGACATAGAAGTATTACCATGGCCGCATAAATAAAGAATTAAAAAAGAAAAAATAAACAAGAACGGATAGGCCTGGTTTGAGGTACTACCAGAACCCAAACAAAAAAAATCACGACGCCTGGTATTTGAAATAGAGGGGCTCCCCATACCCCACATCAGTTGTCCACCACAATATTTTTGAAACTCTTGCAAATTCAATTTTAGAACACCCCCAGCTCCAGTTGTGTGTTCGTCTTTTGTGCTGGGAAACTAAACATGTGGCCCTTATATTCAAATATGTTTATCACTTCACTAAAAAATGTTTGCCAAATAATTATTTTCACAATCCCCCTGTTGGCAGAGAAAGGGACAAGGGGCGGAAATTGTAAAGAACCAGAAAGAAATTAAAGCCAAATTTCTTAGTTAAGTCCCATCCCTAAGTATCATGATTGGGTTGACAAGGCCAGACCATCACCGTCTTTATCAGCACATGGTTATTAAGCTTTCTTATTGTAGAAACTATCCTCAAATTTCAACTTCTCCTAAACAGAGATGTCATTGATTTGAACCTTTTGAGGGCATTCCCTCACTACAAGTGAAAATTTCAACTTCTAAGCAGAGGTGTCATTGATCTGAGTCTTTTGAGTGCATTTCCTCACAATGAGTGAAATTGCTTCAGTGCACCTACTGTTTATGACGTTTCAAATTGAAAGACTCAGATTTCATTTTATACATTATATACTAAAACTTAGCCATTTTATCAAGTATAAATTGTAATTCTTGTTTCCAAATATTTGAAATATGAAGTTCTTGGTAGGGGTTGTCAAAATCCTTAAAATCATAAAGGCTTAACTTGCGTGACAATAGGGGACTCAAATCTCAAATTGCATCTTAACGATTGGAGATCATTACCTCAGACCGTATAATTGCTTTTACTAGATAGTATCCACCTTAATGGTTTTCCAGAATATTCATATTATGCAATCAAACCCTAAAGAGAATTATAAACCTTAAAATGTGGAAATTGCAGAAGTTCCAACCTGGGCTTTAGGGTTGTGTGAGAGGCAATGTCCCTTGAAGAGTATTTTTGGGAGGGGCTGAAAATTCGAGTACCACCTTGTTCATTACTACCTTTTGCAGGTGCCCATGTAGGTCGAGCTATAGTTGTCATGTTTTGTAACAATCCTCACGAGTCCGGATATCTGTAAAAGTCAAAGCAGCTATTTAAAATCCGATTAAAGAATACCTCTACAAGCAACAAGAAAGGCAAAACGTAAGACACCAAAGTAGTATCAAGAGCAACAGTAAAGCACACAACCTCATTCGATGACTCTATGCAATCTAATATTTCTATCAAGCATAAGATCTATTACAAGGTGCTAAATCTATCACACCCAACAAGTTCCTGCCCCTCTCTCATTTTCAATGAAAGAATAAATCTATATCTATATCTATTCTACTATAAAATGTCTTTAGAAGGGTAAAACATTTTTAGGATAGGATCATCGCTACTATGGTAAATAATGGTCATAGCATTTTGCAACTCACAACTTTAAAAACCTTTTCTAGACATTTAAAAATCTAAGCATTTTTTTATTATAAAAAAATTATTGATATGGTCAAAACCTGCAATCCCACACAGTTAACATTATAAATTTTTGCACAGAAATATTCAAAACATGTGATATGGCCACCAAGTACAATCCTACTATGTTACCTTTATGTAGAGAACTCATTGAGGCATTTCATCATGTTTCTTGTTGAAACAATATATCCAAACAATGAATCTAGTTCGTAAATAATGACTGTTCATGTTTCTGTTTGCTGTTGAATAAAGATTTCAAGTTATATCTTGATTTAACTATTTTAAGTAAAAATTCTCCATACCAAGACCTAAAAATATTGCCATAATCAAAATAGTCTAGAGGTGGCAAATGGGCGTGTTTGGGCAGGTTGAAATGGGTAATGGATCAAAAGAGTGTTAGCCCAAAATCATCCATTTAGATAGTGGGTTGGATATGGGTGGGTCGGATACGGTCACTCTTTGGTTCAACTCAAGACACAAGCAATGGAATTTACGGGTTATTACCTTTTTTGGTTGGGTGTCCAATGGGTTAACTTAGGCCTTGTTGGGAAAATGGCTAAATGTCAAAAGTCAACTTTTAATCTATTTTTGATCATATCATCTCTCTATTTTTTTATATATTTCTTAATTTTTTTTTAAAAAAGTCAAAAAATCAGTTTTTAACCAACTTCCCAAAAACCCATTTAAGCCCAAATAAAAACAAGTATATTTGTAATAGGTCCTTCCCAAAAAATAGAGATGTAGCATCTATTTCAGGTTTCTATCCTAAGTGGCATACCAATTTCCTCAATTTCATGAGCGTCAATTTCTGAAAGCACATGCACAAATACCTTCTGGCTTTTCTGAGTAGCATTCTGCAAACATATCCAATTGTCTTCATAAATGTACATTTCTATAGAAATCATGACTTATAATGAACTATTAGTTTTGAAACTTCAAAACAATTCGTAAAATACACAGCCCAGTGCAATCATTACTACATATTATGAGGAAGAACACTATCAATTGATTAGAGAACATAGTTGCCAGAAAATGGATATAAGAGCATGCCTGGAGATTCAGTATGACTTGGCGAAAATTGCAACTTCCTCTGCTGGATTGCCCGTCATCAAGCATGTCTTACTTCTGCCTTTGGGCTGTTCAAAACCAAACCAAAGAAGAAATGAAATAAGATTCAATGAATAAAATTCAACAAATGCTTCTCCAAATTAAACTCAGGAGTCAAAACTCCATTCTACATCACTTGTGAGTCAAGATTTCACACTTGAACTTAAAAAAAGCTATTTTTTATTTGTTTCTTGGGTGATGGAGCCAAGGTTGATATAGTAATTTGTATGCAAACAATTAAACAAAAGCTAAATTTGTTCAATAAGGATTGAGAATATGTAAATTTTATACGAAAGGAAATTACAACAATAGTTAAAATTTCAAGTTGACCGGGTTCCTTACCCCCAACTCTCCCATACTTCCAATCCATTTTGTCCATGTATACAAGAGACTAATCAATAATAAGTAACACAATTGGTGGATGGAATATTTTAGTGTATATAGTAGACTAACCAATAAGCTAGCTTCCGATACACATGTTTGACAAATTAATAATAAAAAATATTGCTAAATGTTAAAGTTGGGATGCAAAATACAATTTTCTATGTGGAATCAATTTAAAATTAAAGTAATAAACTTTAAGCATTTGGGAAGAAATAAAAACCAATAAATGTTATTTTTCTTAGCAGTACCTATTAAATTAAATTGATGAGGTCCAGTAATGCTCTATAGCAACAAAAATCAATGTGGTTGTTGTGTACCTAATGGGTGATGATACATAGTTGTGTTTCTTATGAAACATACAATTGCAGAGAGAAGCTAATCGAAAAAAAGCATTCAAACCTCATATCCATAAAGATAACCCAAAGCATCATGATTCATGAACTTTCAAAGGGTATTACCTAGATTTTCACATGTTACTTAATCAGTAGCAACAGTTTAATAACATCAAAGACAATTCTACATTATTCGTTCACATTGCAACTACTATAAAATTCACCAAAGCCCCATAAAAAAAAAGAAAAAAGAAAAAAAAGAAAAGAATTTAAATAAATTCTCTCACTAACAACCCCAGGATGGCCTTGAGCACAACCAGAAGAATTTAGCCTATACACTAAAGATTTAGAGGAACTGAGAATAACCACCAACATAGAGGAACTAACACAATGGAGCCATATAATCTTTAAGCAATTCTAGAATATATGTACATCTACCTGCCATTTGTCACGGACTGGGCGCTTGTCATCCTCCCGAGAAGCCGGCTCCACGAGTGGTACTGCGTACCCCCCCGTGCATTTTGCCCACGGACCAACCAAGGAGATGCGATAGGGATCTACCCTGCCTGCCTTGCCGCTCACAACCTAATGAACCTAATGCGCTTGCAAGGTGCTTGGTGTAGAACTCGTATCCCTGATGAGTCGGTACGTGACATGCTACCACCGCCAGTCCCTGACGCCCTCGTCAGGGGGACATTACCCTGCCTGCCCCCATGCTTGTCCGTTCCCCTACCCACGGGAAACCCGCCCCGCGCGGACACCACCCTAGGTGTGGACCCCACAATGAAGGTGCTTGGTGTAAGTCCCACGTACCGTCCCCATCACAGTGCCCCTAGGCTGGCTCTGATACCACTTGTCACGGACTGGGCGCTTGTCATCCTCCCGAGAAGCCGGCTCCACGAGTGGTACTGCGTACCCCCCAATGCATTTTGCCCACGGACCAACCTAGGAGATGCGATAGGGATCTACCCTGCCTGCCTTGCCGCTCACAACCTAATGAACCTAATGCGCTTGCAAGGTGCTTGGTGTAGAACTCGCATCCCTGATGAGTCGGTACGTGACACATTATTGAGCCAATAGAGGAACTAACTTGTGAATGACCCTTATTCAATGGCAGGGAAAAGGTTTGTGAATGACAATTTGATATAATTAATTTATATATAAAAAAATCAGATATAATTAACATAGCAAATGGAATAAAAAATCTACCTCAATATCTTACCATATTGTGACCAGAAGTAACTGGATGAATTTCCTGCAAGAGACTGTCTTTAATTTTAAAAGCATTTGGTTTAGTGTTCAGTTTTAGAGTAAAACCACAACTGAATTTTAGAATCCAAAACTTGTATACAAAAAAATAAAAAATAACAAAATAAAAAAATAGAAGCCAAGTATGAAGGAGAAGATTAAGATTAGGTATAGGAAAACACACCACCAACCTTGGCCAATTATTATGTTTGCTCTATAATCCCTCTTTAAAATCAGTAACTCTCCTTGGTAGCTTCCTTTGATATTCTAAATCAAGAGTTCAAAACTCAAATCTAAAGGTATGTGATAAAACAAAGTAGACAAACACATTTGAGTAAAAGAAAGTACTATTTAAGTACTATATATATTTTCTGTTAGGCTTATTGTTTCTAGGGTAATTCTTTTAGTGAATAAACATAATGCCCGAGTCAAGTTTCCTCATTGAATCTTAAGAGGACAATTTTTTTTTCCATTCATAGTCGTATGAGTTGGCAAAAGCCAGGAGTACTTTGGCAAGAGAGGTCTTGAATCACAAACCCACCTAACCTTGTACTTACCCACCTTGCTAGTATGTGTCCACAGATGCAAGCTAGAATAACTATAGAACTCTTGAACAAAAATACTGGGGCTGGTGTGCGTTTATGTCAAGGGGTACTACGACATTCTTATCTCTATCATCAACATGGAGACATGAGACAATGGAAAACTTAAAGCACCCATACAAATTTTAAAGCAAATATAAGCTTAGAAAAGCCATCCATTTAAAAAGAAAGTTTTAAATTAAAATTAGCTCCCATGGAACACTTTCATATGGCAAGCCATGATGAACAACCTTCAATTGCGAGAGAGAGAGAGAAACTATACCAAAGTGAATAAGATTATGACAAACATAGCAGCTAAGGAAAAATTATATGTTCACCGTTAAAAAGTAAACAGAAACAATAGTACCTATCAATTTGTTTTCTTCTTAAAAAGTAACTAGCACAACAATGTATGCGTTTTTTTCTCTAGAAAGATAGTTATTAAGTAACAAAATATATAAATAAAGCACGATTAGAATGTACCATACAACATTGATTGCTTGGAGATTTCGGGAAATCCAGAAGGCACATTTCAAAAAAAGGCCATATGCTTTCAACGTTCAATGCATACAAAATACTATTTTAAAATGGAATCCAAAAGGCTTTGACTAAAAATTAAAATAAAACATTTCTACAACTTACACTAGAATGTTGAATTGGAGCACAAATTCCCATTAGTCCACATCCAAGATGCTCTATACCATCTTCAAATAATTGGACTATGTTATAAGTCAATTTTTACCTAGTTCTTTCAATAATCAAACAATAGCAACATGTTTTCTGTAAGAAAAAAGTACAAAATCTGCAATAGCACAAATGAATAGAACATGCAAGTGATGCAGACATATTTTCCAAAACCATAATTAAATTTTTTTTTCTTGCCATACCTATTGAAAGGTTTTAATTTGCAATTGCAATCACTACCAAACTTCCAAAGCATGGGTAAGTTCTGTCAATGGCCTATTGGCATAATTGATGAGTCATAGGTACTAACATTTCAATAAGAATAGTTGAAAACAAAAGAAATAACAAATGGCATACTACCACAAAAGTTGCTATTTAAAAGCAACTTTAACTTAGAAGTCAAGAGAGAAGGTCAAATAATGTTTCCCTGAAGAGTAGGTAACACAAAACCATTTACTAAGGGCTATTAGTCTTGGGTCCTCCAGGTACCACTCCTCATTTCCCCATTATGCTACCTAATTAGACACTGCAGATTCACTGTAAATCTAAAATTGGTAAAAAAAAAAAATTAATACAAGAGATATAATTACTAATTTATTAAATATATGATTTCAAGGTCTAAAGATCGATACAAACAATCAAGAAAACTAATGGGTATAAGGGTAGATTATATGTATGCATATATACATACCTATATGCATATGATATGCTATCTCTATGTGTGTGTAAATATATAAACAATGCCCAAATAGTACACATTAACATGTGTTGGGGAAGGAAAAGATTGGATACACACCTAACCTTTGACATAGTACACAGAGTGGCTACCTCGAGACTTAAACTCATAACTTCAAGGTTATTAGGCTAAGATTTTTACCATTGAACCAATGGTCACCCCTGTGTGTGTGCGCGCGCATACATATATATATGTATATCTTAAATATACAAAAATGAGAAATTAACACTTCTCATAGGAAAGTAAGTTTCCAGTAAACCAAAAAATGGGTAAACAAGAAGTATTATCATTGAATCTGTAAACAATGTTCAAGATTATCATTATCAAAGGGTTCAATAAAATCACAATACACATACACACAACGAAATGATTTTCTAGATAATAATTTTTGAAGAATTCATCAAGAAAATTGGTTGCACCTGTCTTCAACTAGCCTAAGTTGAAAGAAAAGAATTCATCAAAAAAAAATTATTCATATTTTTTGGAAAATTTTGATAAAACTCTAATTTGAACAAGAGTGTTAAGATGAGTTGGGTTTTCCCATATCACACTAATCTTGCACACAACTTTCAAATCCAAAATTTCATATCAGGAAGTACTAAACAATCCAAGAAGGCTCTTTTGATTCCAACATATTAATCAGAAACTCAAACAAGGTCTACAATTTCTTACATATCTATTGGTTTTCATAACAAAATCATATGATCAAAACAAGACCCAGATAAATTATTCTATCAAACAACACCATTCAAGCTCGATCCACAGATCATTTTAAGATAAGTAAATACACCAATTAGATTATATTATTTTATTATAAATTTTCTTTTACACATTATTATGTTAAAATTAGTGTTTGTTTTATATGTCTAGATTTTTTATTTTACTTGTGTCTAATAAAAATTTGGATCTGCCAAACTTTAAAAAAAAAAAAAACTAAAACTTAAAAGTAATTTTGTAGCTTAAAAACAGAGAAAATTTATTTTATATAAAAATTTACATTGTAAAAAAAACTCGTTCAGATTTTTCTCCTTAGGTGCACTTTTAGATTTTCTCAAAAAAGCTTGAGCTGGGTCGCCTGTGTGTTTAATCAGCATGTAGACGTATAATGCTATAGCAAAGAGAAAGCAATTAAACAAATGCCAATATGATTGAGAACCAATGTTAATTTTGAATGTGAACAAAACTTAATATCATCAGCTATTCACTTTTTAGGGTTAGGGTTTTGAAATCAAAGCCCAATCTTGGGTGGTTACAGATGTTAATTTTGACTGAGAACAAACCTTAATATTAGATATTCAATAAGGGTTAGGGTTTTGAAATCAAAGCCCAATCTTGGGTGGTTACAGATGTTAATTTTGACTGAGAACAAACCTTAATATTAGATATTCAATAAGGGTTAGGGTTTTGAAATCAAAGCCCAATCTTGGGTGGTTACAGATGTTAATTTTGACTGAGAACAAACCTTAATATTAGATATTCAATAAGGGTTAGGGTTTTGAAATCAAAGCCCAATCTTGGGTGGTTACAGATGTTAATTTTGACTGAGAACAAACCTTAATATTAGATATTCAATAAGGGTTAGGGTTTTGAAATCAAAGCCCCAACTTGGGTGGTTACAGATGTTAATTTTGACTGAGAACAAACCTTAATATTAGATATTCAATAAGGGTTAGGGTTTTGAAATCAAAGCCCCAATGGCACAGCTATCTTGGGTGGCTGTAAATAGGAACATACCTGACCTACAGAAGAGAGCTCTTGTAAATTTTCAATTCGACTAGAAGGGAAAATATTTGCTGACAAACCCATGGTGGAGATGGGAACAGAGTGATGGCTTGTGAAGAAGATTTCAACAACGGTGGCGTGGATCGCCGACGGGGCTGGTGGTCAGAGGCCAATCGTTCTTCGCTCGCTATGGTGGAAGAGAAGAGAAAGGTGAAGAATGGTGGCCCCGACGCTTGACCGTTGGACTTCGACAATTATGGTGGAAGAGAGGAGGGAGGAGAAGAGGAGCAAGAGCACGAACCAGAGCAGGAGAGGGAGGCAACTGAATTGGGACTCTTGGAATTCTGATTACTTTGCTTGTTTGACAACCGGTTACACCGGTTCTCAATTCAAAATTAAATTATTAAACTAATTTAGTTATATGATAGTTATGAGATAATAGGGTATATATAAATAACTAAATATAACTAAGTTATGAGTTAATATAAGAATAGTTATGATTTATATGATATTAGTTATGATATCAAATCATATAATCTCATAACTGATGTATGGTACATCCAAATGTACCATAGCATCACCCGTCGCTGGCAGCTGCTATAAATAGGTGTACGGAGAGACAGATAAGTGTTGTTCAAAAAAAGATAGACAGATAAGTGGTGCTAACATGGTTTTTCAGATTTTTGTTTTCTTCATAGACAAAAGGGAATAGAATTTGGGGCAATTGGCCCAATAGTATTAAATTTGGACTGTTGATCTAAGTGTCTAATTTATTATAAAGAGTAAATTATAAATACATTTTTTGAGATTTGTTTAAATAGGAGACTTATTTATAAGTCTTCTTTCAGACACTTATATTAAGCTAAGTCCTATGTAATTTTTTATAGAGTTTCAAGTCCTATTCAGATAGGAATGTATTCCACAAGATTCTACATAAACGTAACGTGACGTGACACTTACATAAACGTAACGTAACGTGACATCTACATAAACGTAACGTAACGTGACATCTACATAAACGTAACGTAACGTGACACCTATATAAACGTAACGTGACATCTATACGTAATGTGACACCTGTATAAACGTAACGTAATGTGTCACGTTACGTTTCGCAAGCTTAATAAGTTTTTATTTTTTTTAAATTGAATGTGAAAATGTTACTGGTTTATGTTGGTGTCACGTTACATTTCATATAAATATGATCTATGGTAACATTCAATTTCCTATATAGGAAATTGAATGTTGCTATAGATCATAGATGTCACGTTACGTTTATGCAGGTGTCACATCATGTTACGTTACGTTTATGTAAATATGATCTATGACAACATTCAATTTCCTATCATAGGTGTCACGTTATGTTTATGTAGGTGTCACGTTACGTTACGTTTATATAGATATGATCTATGGTAACATTCAATTTCCTATATATGGTTTTACTATTATTTATGATATTAACAACTAATATTGAGGGTAAATGTGTCAACAAACTTCCCACAGGACTTGTGGGAACATAAGTTTTTTAGTAGGACCATATGTTGCATAAGTCTCCCTAATAGGACTTATAAATAATTTTCCCTTGTTTAAAATATGAATTATTTTTTGTAATTTGAAAAATTACAAATATTCCTTAGTCATAATTTTTTATTTAACAAAATTAACTGAAAAAATAAAATTTCTAACTACTCTTCCATACAATAATAAAATTATCTGAATTATTAATTGAAATAAATTTCTGACATTATTAAAAAATTATTAATTGACTTGATGGTTTATTAATAAATGGGCCTATTTGTTATGAAATTATAAATTTAAAGGGATGAAATGTAATTTTTAGAATCATAAGAGGTAATTTGTACTTTAAGCAAATCTAAAGAGATGTATTTATAATTTATCCTATTATTAATCGGTAATTTTATATGTCAGTGATTACTTGGTATTGGGAAAATTCTATTTCCACACACCTAATTAACTCAAGGCAAATCTTTTCTCAATACACACCCCTATTAATTTGATTATTAACTATTTTTCTCAATCTACATCCTTAAAATTACAATTATATCATTCACTTATAACCATAGTACACACTTTACACTCAAATACACACACTTTAATTGATCATAATTCACATTTCTAGTTCCACCCACTTTGGTGAAGATCAAACTCACTTCGTTCAAATAGAAAAAAAAAAAAAAAGACTTCGTTCAAATAGAAAAAAAAAAAATTCAACTTTCCTCACCTCCATTGAAGACTTTGAAGAGCTCCATTGAATCTCTACTAAAAACTCTTGAAAACCTTTGTTTAAGGTAAGAAATCTTTCCATTTTATTATTATATTTACCATTTTCAGATATTTCTTCACTCCATTGGCATAAAAGCATTTGTTTTTCCCTTGCTGGGCATGCTGTGGATCTCTCAGCACTGGGTGTCTGAATTTGTTTGTTTAATTCGGAACTTAGTCACCAAATAATATGTATAATTTGGACTAATTAGGTCCGAACAAAATATACAATTTCGTAGTTTGTTTGCCGAATCTGTTCTATTTTTTCGATTTTGTAGTTCCGAATATATGCAATAATGTCGGTAATTGATTTTCAAAATATTTGTGTGTATTCGACACTGAAGTTCTGAGTGGTTTTATTTTTTTATTTTTATTATATGATATAGAAGTTTACACTAAGTTACATAGGTCACCAAGATTGGTTTTACTTTAGGTTCTTTTCCAACAATTTTATTTTATGGGTATGTTTATGTATTTATTTATTATTTTTTTTTTTGCAAAATTCAATGCATAACAATAGAAACAAAGTCTGTGCAGTATTGGTATTTCCACATTATATTGTCAGCTTAAGTAGTTGGGTTTTCATAAATGTTGTTAGCTAAATAGCTTAACAAAACAATTGCATTATATAGAATATTAAAGTTTGAGTTATTTTGCTTTTGGGGTTTGTCCTTTCAAAACATTGAAATTGGGGCCAAATTTGGTCTTTGGTTGTATACTTACAGCTATAACAAATTTACAATCAATAGCATGTACAAAGACAAGTGATGGGCAGTCCTTTGATTGTTTAAAAAATGATGTTGGTATTGATTAATGACCATGTTGCCTTGGTAAATTGGCCGAATTGAAGTTAATCTGTATTTCGCATGTTGTGAACATTAACCAAACTAATTGGTGAATGGTCTACATAGAATACAAATAGTTTTGCGATATCCATATTTACATTGTAATTTTTCAACAAATCCTAGTCTCACTCTTTCATTAGTAGTAGGGTTATGTCTTTAACTTATTTTATTAATCTTACTTCATCCAAATTGTCAATTTAATGGTCTATAACTGCATATTAGATTTCATTAAGGTGGCATGGTTATGCTACTTATTACCCGCATTGATGTGATCCTTTTCTGGGAGTGCTTATTCTGTTTCATTATATTGGGTTGATGAGAACAACTTTCCTTATGTAGATGGATGCCGGTCCCAGTGAACGTCTGTCAGTAAAAGCTTCGAACAGGAGACTCCATGAATTAGAGAGACGTGAACGTGGACGTGCTTGAGTGCATGATGATGACACGCACATTGCCATGGATGATGATCCTATACATGATGCACCAGTTATGGATGATATTGCTATGGATGATGACCCCACTGGTGATAATACTGACATTGTTGATGAAAATATCCTTACTCAGCCATTTCCGGGAGAGCCAACTGATCCATCAATCCTTAAAAGTTTAAAAGTCATGTTGCCACAGCTATTTTGAATGGTGTTGATGAAAGGGGGCCCTTGAAGTGTCATGATCACTTATCTAAGATTCATTCGTGGCCGTGTTGGGAATAAGGAAACAACGCTACATTTGTAAACATTGTAGAGATGTTAGGACTTGCACAATTAGCTCGTTGCATGTACCGCTTTGTCAACAAAATTGTAGTGTCCAGTTTTGTTGAGAGATGGTAACCAGAGACAAACACCTTCCATTTGACTGTTGGAGAGATGATATCACATTGGACGATGTCGCCACTATCCTAGGGCTTCCCATTGTAGGCAAATCTATTAGTGTGCGTAAGTTGTCAGAAAGGTGGGTCATTGCATTAGTAGTTAATACCTTGGAAATTGATGAGCAAGATGTCAGACATGAGATGTGTAGTGCTGGAGGCAATTTAGTGAGGCTTGAGTGGTAGAGGGCACACTTTCATAATGTCACAAATAATGATTCAATGGAAAGAATTGCATGTGCAGGTAGAGCATACTTGCTATTTTTGTTGGGTTGTACACTTTTCAGTGACAAGATTGGTAATAGGTCCTTGTTGTTTATTTGAGTTTGTTGTCCGATTTGACGACTGTATCTTCATATGCTTGGGGTGCTGCGGCATTGGCATACTTATATAGATAAATGGGGTATGCTAGCAGGTCCGGCATGAAACAAATAGTCAGTTACATGACACTTCTTGAGGGATGGATTTATGAGCACTTTCGTGGATTCCAACCACACTTGAATATGAATTACACTCGAGACATGCCACATGTTTACCATTAGACTTCTCAGAGAGAGTCTGGTGAAGAGACACAGTTGCAGTCTTTTCTAGAGGAGCTTGATAGGTTAGGTGTACATGACGTAAGTTAGAAAGTCCATCAAAATTTGAAACTCTATATCACACAAAAATTACAGTTGCCATTTCTTACAGTTGTTATTGTTTGTAGGTTATTTGGGACCCATACCAGAGTTGCAGAGATGTCCATCCATGTCACCTAGTTACGTTCTACCACGATTGCCTAAAGTGTTTGGAATTAGTTGAACCATATCACCCTGATAGAGTTTTGAGACAGTTTGGTAGAGTGCAGACAATCTTTAATCCACCACTTGGCCCTATGCGTGCCTCTCAAGGAGCCACAGCTCCACGCTACAATGTTATGTATGCATACTTAGACATCATTTGAGAGGCATGGGACAACCATGTGTTATCTGATCGGAGGAGGAGTACACCGGTACGGCAACCTTGGGATTGTGTTCCTGGTTACATGGATTGGTACCAAACCATTTATATGTATGTTCAAAACCCAGCGCGTCATTCTCAAGTGGACCCAAATATTCATCATTATCAATATCCTAGCCAAGACGCACAAGTACTTTTTTTTTTCATTTACAGTACAAATTATTTATGTGAACTATTATAGGTTTGTACATAATGTTGTATTTGTTCTCGTAATGCAGCGTATGTCACAAATATATCAGATTACTCATCCTTTTGTTGAGGCTGGCTTTGAGGACAGTGTTCAACATCATGATAGGCTTTACTACACAATTGATGCAATTGAACAACTTCCTCAAGATCAGCACATTACTGAAGTTGTGCCCAGCACATCTGCTCAGGGTTGGTCTGTACCCAGCTCTTCTACTATACATCATTTTGGAGCACATTACACTCGCCGGTCACGTAATTGATAGTAGTTCATAATGTTAGCACAAGTAGTTGTTGATGGTGTTGGTGGATGTATATGGAGACAAATATTATTATTATTTTTGGATTATGTACTTTTTTGATTATGTGCAAGGAGACGGGTATGTTGTGATTATGTGGATGGATTGAAATACTAGTTAATATTATTATTTCTTTTTAGATACTTGTTTAATATTATTACTCTTCAACAGTAGTTGCACTTGGTTAATATTATTTTCATTACGTTTTGTGTTTAGACAATGTAAAAATATCCAATTGCATCCATTCCATAAATAAGAGAACTATAAATCATATGATATTCTATTTATAAAAATGATCATTACAGAATCCAATGGCAAAATGAAATCCAAACTCACTGGATGTGCCCAAAACAATTTCCCTAAACTTCTACAACAATGAGAGGAACTGGATGACCGGCCTCCAAAAATACCTGCACGTACATCCAAAACATTACATATCTTTATCAAATCCATCAAATTTTCAATTACACAAATATTGAACAACAATGTTCGGTTATTTTCATAATTTATACATGCACAAAATGATTTCCATTGACAAATCCAATGGCAATCTCGCGATGATCAGCTATGGTTACTGGCGATGATCTCAAAGGTAAGAATGTAATACACTGTACAAGACTACATTATAAAATGATGCAATAAGATGCCCCATGTCAAGCATAGTCATCCAACGATCAAAGCCTGGGCTATCTTCAAATTATGAAAGGGAGTGTGTCAGCTCCCCAACCCTCTCATGCGACCTGTATAGTGCAACGTATTCATCTCTGTGATTATTCAATTCAAGTAACAGATCATACCTCACTTGCACCCAGTCATTCTCTCAAAGACCAAGTAAACTTGTAATAGCTCTAAAACCACAATTCCCATCACCATCTACATCCTTCATCAACTTTATGAGTGGTATTAACATAGGCGAGAAGTCACTAGCATATGCACTCGGTAAACTTGTTCTTGCACGATATATCTTTGTCTTCACATTCCGCTTCTTCTTATGCACTTTTGAAGCTCTCTTTTTCTTTGATTGACTGGAAGATAATGTGCTTTGGGTATCATGGCCATCGTCAACCAACTCAAATGCACATGGGTCACGACGACAAGATATATCAATTTTATTATGTCCTCGATGTGGATTAGGTTTCACATCAGGCTCAATAAGAAAAGTGCTCGCTGAATTTGCAATTTCTCAAAACTTTTTCAACATATCCAATTGATTACCTCAAACTTTTAAACTTTTGAAATTTTTATGGATATGTTGATTACCTCCGAATAGTTACTGAAATTTTTATGCAGTATTGTAAGGTAATCATTGTATTCCTCTTCAGTCGATGACAATACCAAATAGTTCCATGCAGTGTTAAACTTGTCCCATTTTCTTTTGTCACAAACTTTTTCTTGCGTTTCGTCAATACATTCTTATTAATATGCCAATGACAAAAGAAATGTTGAGCATTCGAAAAGGTGTTGTCAATGGCATTCATCAAAGCAAGCTCTTTATCTGTGACAATGGCTTCAGGTAAAACACTGTCATCCATAAGATCACGCAATGTTTGTAACGCTCACGCATAATTATCAACTCGCTTAGTTTGCAAGCATGCGATAGCCATGGAGGATGTCATATGTGTTGATGTCACTTCCACAATTTCAAGAAGAGGAAGTCGATATCTATTCGTCTTGTATGTGCAATCCATAATCAACACACGAGGGAATGTACGAAGTAAATCCAAACTCACTGGATGTGCCCAAAACAAGTCTATGATAGTCATAGAGAGTTCCTCACATCGATGATGCTCAATGTACTTATGTTTCGCTAATTCACCCTGCAGTTGTTGCATCTGGAATCTACCAGCTTTCTGTAGAACCCTACATCGATTTCGTACATTATAAACTGTCTTCATTGTGCTCATATTAAGGGCATCCCTCTGTTTGAGTGTAATGAGTATCTCTTTTGGTCTTTCTAGGCTCTTTGACATATTTACTAACAACGACTTTTCATTAGTTGACAATCTCCTTGCATATGAATGTCCTTGGAGATGCTTCACAGCTAGATGATTATGCAGCTTGCAAACGACATTCAATGTCCATTCATCGTTTGTTTTTGACTTGTATGCCCTCAAATCAAATGGACATTCACACTTCTTCATACCAGTTTGTCTCAATAAGTCTTTTGAGCCATCTTTCAACTTTTTACACACTCTATACTTCCCACTCCGCTCACAAGTAAGATAAATTTTTGGTCTCTTACGACCGCCACCATAGTCCAACATCCTTATAATAATTTTAAAGTCATTTATCCTTCCAATGTCATGTACCAAAGTGAGCAATTCATCTTTGTTGTCGAAAATCTAAATATAATGTCACACAATTTTCATAAGAACAAACTAAACAAACTAACTAATAAAAATTATGAACTTACTAATTTCATGTTAAAAGTTATCTGTTTAGCTATGAAATGACTAGTACAATCTACCATAATATCCGGTTGAACCTTAGTTCTTCAGTGTATGCCATCTGAAAGGAAGGAAAAAAGTTCATTTGGTTTTACAGAGTCAAAAAAAAAAAAAAAAAAATTTAGCACTATAAAGCCGAAAATAATAATAAAAAAATCAGCACTAAAAAAATGAAAATAATAAACAAATTTGACACTATGTAGCTGAAAAAATTAATAATATTCGGCATTTGAGTACCGAAATAAATTAAAAACTGACAATTGAAGTGTTGAAATATATAAAAAAAAAATTGGAACTTTTCTATCGAAATATAAATGTTATTTCGGAAGTTGATTTATGAATATATTCATAAAATTCAGCACTGAATCTCTGACTAAAAAACGCAAAAAAATAATAAATTACTACATGATTTTACCTTTTCATCACTAATTTTGCTGTCACCATTGCTTGAGTTTGAACTTCCATAGGTTTGTAACTCTTCCATATCAAAATCAAGTAAAAATTGTGGAACTAATAATTAAACGATGTAAACAATCGAGTATAAACCTAAAGATTAAAGCAATATGAGAGATGTTTTTAGAGTATTGCTCTTTGCAAGTAATACAGGAGTAGAGTGTGTAACAAGAATAGTGACCACAATAGAAAAATTAGGGTTTAATTGTTTTCATTCAAAAGGTGTATATTGAGATATTTTTGTTCCTAAAAGATGTGCATAGAGAATTTTTCTCTATCATATTATGGGTGTTGATGGATGTCTATTATAGTAATTTCTATTTAGGATATAATTGTCATTAAATTAATTTTTCATTAAGTGTGTGCCCTGAGGTAATCAGGTGTGTGGAAATAGAATTTCCCTTGGTATTGTTTGATAATCTAGAATGGGCAAATTACCCACAAGTCCTTTTTGAAAAGTGTGTATTTTATTTAGTTCTAAAATCTTTTAGATAAATCCAAAAGTCTTATACCTATTTATCTTCTCCTCTTTCCTTACACGTTGGCCCCAGGCCCATTGATATCGCTTGTGTAGATACTTGAGCTTACGAAAAGCCTTTCTATTAGTAGGCCTCAAATGTGACACACCTATACCCATATCCTTTTGAATTTGGGCTTTTTTTGCCACCAAATTCTAGATGGGGAACTTATTGATAAGTCTCACACACAAAGTTTACAATCTATCTAATTACAAAACAAAATACTTGCACTAATTAGTCTTATATATATTTTTAATTGTTACTAAAAAATCTTATTTTTAAAAAATAAAAAAATCAAAGACGCTCCTACATTCCACCACCATCGAACTTCTGTCAGATGGTTATCGGAGCCTTGTCGGAATATCATCGGAAATTCGCAGGAGTATCGCCGGAATATTCTGAACTTCACTGGAAGTTGTCGGAATGTCTAGAATGTTCGCTGGACGTCAAGAATATTGCCAGAGACTCACCGGAATGTCTAAAATATTTCCAAAAAAAGAATAATAAGTTGAGAAATTAAAGTGAAAAAACATAGTGAAATGTGCTATATATTGATAAACTGAAAAAAGAAAAAAAACCTAAGAACAACAAACAACAACAATGAAAAAAAATATATGCTATTTTCATTTTTTTGTAAGGTTTAAGCAAATAATTTCTAATATTGATCAAACTGAAAAAAAAGCTTTGAAACTGTAAAATGTTACAGTTTTAAAGTATGATTCTATTAAGTATTTATCATTATTAATCAAACTGAAAAATATGTTATGAAACTGCAAAATTTTACAGTTCTAAAGAAAGTTGTGAAACTGCAAAATTTTACAGTTATAAAGAATAATTTAATTCAAAAACCAAAAAAATGAAACTGTAAAATTTTACAGTTTTCACCGCTTGTAATAAAAATTCGAAAACATCTTATTTAGAACTTGAAAATTTTCTCCATTATAATAGGAAAATAAAAGTGTATAGTACAAAAAAAAGTATTAAAATTGAGAGATTAAAGGAAAGAGACAGATATAGAGAGATGTTTGTACTTCGACAACTATTTTTTGGTTTAGATCTAGCCGGATTTAATGTACATCTACTTAGATCTGATATAGATCTGAGTGGATCTACATTATATTTAAGCGGATCTACTCATCTTCTTCGTCAGAAACTCATTTCTTTCGCCATCGTTGAGCACGAAATAACGAGTTGGTGCTCGGTGGTTGCCTGTAAAACCCAATCAATGGTGGTTGCCAGTCACCGATGATTGTAGATTAGAAAGAGAAAGAAAAAAAAGGAAGACGTGGTCGTGGTTGTCACCGATGTAGACACCCCATTTTTGATCGACCTTAAGACTTAGACGTCATTACTTGTGCACTCAATGATTACGATTGCATGTGTTCGCTTTGAGTGCCCAACGTCCTCGGTGAAACACCTTGTCGTTGAGCCTTTAAAGGTTGTCCATTTTGTGCTTTGTTTTGGACCAAAACCTTGTTGTTTCAAGCTTGGAACTTGTGGTGACCTGTTGGCCACCAACTTAGGTTGGCGGATATGGCTCATGGTTGTCGGCCATTGGTGTGGCCGGTCGGCCATCAGTGGTGGCCGGTCGGCTACCAGTGGTGACCGACGACCACCAGTGTCTTTTTCTAGATATTTGTTGACAGTTGTGCCAACTGTTACCATATTGAGCTGCATCTCCATACACGTGTATGGTAGGATGTTTCTAAACTCAAGGCTTGTTTTTTTATATATTGGGGGGTTCCTTCCCTATTTTGGAGGGTTAGAAAACTTGGAACCAAATTCTCTTTCTTTCTCTAGACCTCTCTCTCTCTCTCTCTCTCTCTCTCTCTCTCTTTCTCTCTCGTAATTTTATACACATTTGCTCATAAATCCTACACTTTTGCCTATACACCCTTGATAGAAGTTGTTAGTCTTTGGGCTGAGGTAGCTTGAGACCCCCTTTGAGCTCTAGAAGGTGTGTGTGACTTGAATTTGTTGGCCAAATTGTGTTTTTTCTCCAAGAGCAAGGAAGTCCAGGTCATCAGTGGCCGACCAGCCACCAATGGTAGTCGATTGGCCTCTTATCGGCCATCGGTAAAGTTTGCACAGTGTGTTGGTAAGGTGGATCAGAGGTGTTCTGGAAGTGGGCAACATTGTCAGTGCTCAAATGTGCAAACAGAGGCATTCAACAGCAAGGCAGTGGCTTTTCGGTTGGAAACTGAGCATACATAGGCTTTCCTCGTTTGCCGGGATTAGCTAATTAGTTCAATTAGCAATAGATCAACTACGTGTTGTAATTAATTAGTTGTAGCTAATTAAGTGTTGTAATTAATTAGCTAGTTTAATTAGTTATTCGATTTCGTTTTGTAATTAGTAAACTAGAATAGTTAATTAATTCGAGTTTTGTAATAAGTAGTTAGCTTAATTAGCGTAGCTAGTTGGTTAGCTTTTATTCATTCGGATCCTCCTTCGCGAGGGCGTAATGTTGTAATAAGTGTGCATGCGTGTGTGTGTATGTTTTCCAACCCCACGTCTTTCTCCCTTTTATTTAATCGCTTTTATGGTTAGATTATGGACATGTTTCGATTAGCATACCTTATGCTTGCATCCATTCATTTGTATTGCATGCACCGAGGCTCGACGCATCATTCAAACTGCATTGCAATTTCAATAATTCTTTGAATACGTGTTTAACCACATGTTATCAAAATTGTTTCACATGCCATATTAGTAGCTGAGCCTATTAATTGCATTCTTTGCATGTGTTGCATTATGCATCTTAACATAGTTAGGATCATGCATCTTTCTAACTAGTTTCTGATTTGGTTGGGAGTACTCGGTGAGTTTTTACGCTTTAGCATACTTGCATAAGTGTGAATGTTGCCATGATTAGCATGCTTGTCATGAGGCTATGTGCTTAAATGCTTAACTGCATGAATGCCTATGGATGAAGGCTTGTTGTTTGAATTGGAACGATTCAATAAATGTACGTTTTAAGCCCACTTTGTTGAGTGGCAAATCATGTTTTAAGCCCACTATGTTTGGTGGCAAATCCGTAAATTTTAAGCCCACTTGAGGTGGCAAAGTCAAACTATTTTCGCAAACAAATATGAGTTGAATTGTTCCAAATTGAGCAAACTAGTCTATACTTGCTTGCGCGCATCACATAGTAAAGCTAGCTTAATAATCAACAAGAGCACATAATGTTTATAAAAAATCATATCATGATTAGTAGAGGCCGATCTTTGATCGAGGGTGCGGGGGTGCTCAATTCAAGACCTTCCCTTCTCGTACCTAAGTTCCTGAGCCGAGGCAACTTTGGTGATGACAGACACGTGGCCTTTGGCACGAGTCATGGGTTTCCTAGATTTTCCTAAAATAAAATATTTAGGTGGCGACTCTATTAGTTTCACATTGCACTTGTGAGATTAGATTCAGAACCGCGAGAGTCCGAACTGTAGGGCTTTCTTTCAAACCTTCTAAAAGGGGGCATGAAAAAGCTAAGCTATATTTTCTGGCGACTCTGCTGGGGATTTAGAGAACTTGACTTGAACTCATGATATGACTTTTTAATCTACACTTATGTGTTTCTTTGCATTTGTATTTGCATTTGCATCGGTACACCTAAATCACTGTGTTTGCCATCTGCTATTTCTGAACGGTTTTGCCGGAGGCTTGGTTGGAAAAGCTTGCCAAAAGGCTGACCGATTGCGGGATTTGCCATGATGGGAACACAACCCTTGGATTTGGACTACCGTTGTACCGTTTGATCCTCCCTTCACTTCAGTCTTGCTAAGGTACCTTTTTTTTTGACCAATCGATCTGGTTACATATCGGAAGCCATAGAGATTATTCCAAACTAGGACAAGTTGCTTACCCAAATTCAGGATCGTGTGAAACACTTTGTTTTGAATAGTGAACCCTAGCTCATGACGAAACTAGGACAGGGTAACCCTACCCCTTCATAGGGGTGTTTCGGCTTTCTTTAACTGGTATGTGCTTTACAGTGAAACTGTACAGGAATGTGCATATCAGTTGCAAGGTTGGTATCAGTTTGTGAGGCAGGATTCAATATAGAGAGTATAGTCATTCAACTGTGATCATACCTGTTCTAGGGAAATTAGGCTGAGGTACTGTTTGTTTTCTCTTTTGCAAGGTAATCCTTGAACCATAGCTTTAGAAGGCTCCGATATCTCTCAAGTACTCTGGACTTGTATTGATAGACTTTGTCAGGTTAGAGATTTAGTTCAAGGAAAATTAGTGTTTCCTTCGCCAGTGGCATGATGAATGAGGGCCATATAGAGTTCAGCAGTTCCACTGATCTAACAGTCACCAGTTAGATCACCTTTGTTCAACTTAGCAGACTCGTGATGGTTCAAAGCTCAGAAGAAGTTGTGGCCGCGATAGTAGCACAAAACTAGGAAATTGCCATGCAAGATAAGACCAACGATGAAATGCAACGCCCATCTGGGGGATCTGCCACACATCCAGTCCTGGGCCTCCAGTTGAACTTTAACCCACTTCCGCCAGC